GTACTTTGATTATTTTAGAATGAATAAGCAAAGAGTGGCTAAAAGGACGATATAAAGATTCCAAAAGTTACGATGCCCACCGTCATTAACATTGTGTCGAAAGGTGACGATCAAGTAAAACACAAGCTCAAAATGAACGTTGATTTTTTGGGTATGAGACAAGTATACATAATCGAAAATACTTACCTAAATTTAGAAAGACTAAAACAATCTTGTAAATAAAATTCGATGATCTTCTCCTGGTATATTATACGTAAGATATGAAAAAATCGAGAGATACTGAGAGTACGGTCTGACGTTTACGTAAGAACGCAACAGTACTATGACGTCATTGTCTCGCAGGAAGAGCGAAACACGCATCCCCCAGACGCAACCGTCGATTCACGCGTATAGAACAATAGCGTTTCCTAACCGGGTGTTGAGGGACTGTGCTCTGATGTATTAACATTTACCACAATCTGATCGTCCAATGTTTAGTGAAAACGATTGTAAAAACCGCAAGTCTTATTGCTTTGATACTATACATGTCAGATTTTTTCATTTTCTAATGTTATCTTCAGTTCTTTACCGGTAATTGAAATATTCTTTGCTAACAGCGGAGCTACTGGGTATCTTATCCGAGGGGCTGTTTTATATTGGATAATATATTTTTTTAGATCAAACGTCAAAATTACCTTGGTGATGGTGTGATGGCATTCGTAGGAGAGCCTGGTGACCCAGCTGCAGGTGTAGCCATGTCTGCAATTATACAAGCACTTTATGAAACTAACATGGTAGCAATTGTCAAGAAACTTAACTCTGCACGTGGTGTTCCAAGGATTGGTCTTTTAACTCCACATATCAAAGCAAAGTATGAGGTAAGATTATAATATTATTTTATAGTCTGCAGATGACCCAGCAGAGCTGTTGGTATAGGGGTCTTTCCGGCGTCCCGTGTGAAGTTTTCCTTTAAACGACTTCTTCTTCAAAAGTACTTGACCAATTACATTCACATTTGTACCAAAGGTACTTAGGGTGGTCCTCTGTCAGATTTGTTAAATTCGTGTCAAAATATGCAAATTTGGATTTTTAGTGAATATTTTTGTCATTTTTGGTAAAATAATTTTATTTTCGACAACTGGTCCAAAACCGTAAGTCCAAATGCTTTCATATTTCCAGCAATAATACGTGGGGTGGTCCTCTGTCAGATTTGTTAAATTGGTGTCAAAATGTGACTATTTGGAATTTTAGTGAACATTTTTGTCATTTTTGGTAAATTTTTGACAACTGAACTCAAGTGCAATGTTTTCTAAATGACTGACTATGAATATTACAACCACAATGCCACTTTACTGATTCTTGTTCCATGATAATGAAGACAGCGGAGCTATTTCGACTGTCAGGTCGCTTGTTTTTACAACTGTTAAGTCTATCCTATTGTCAAGAATTGTCTATTTCTTTACGCCTGCCTGTATTTGAGGAATGGTCTGAACTGAGAAATATTGTGATGCTGCTGATGATGATCAAGATTTGTTCATATATAGCCTAGCACTCTCTAAGATCTTCTACGCCTAGGCATTATGATTGCATTGCATTCCAATACACTGTGCTTTCATATACCAATGCAAAATAAATGGATACTCTAGTCAAAATTTTCCAAATTTATTTTGATAGTGTTTATAGGTAATTTGCATAATTTAAGGTTATTACTAGGATACCATAAAGTATGCACGAAGACAGTACAGCAGGAATATCGACCGGAGTTCGAAGCGACTGTGTACTCTCTGAGTGCATACTTTGAGGTATCCTCGTAATGACCTTATTATTATACATCTTTTCTATCCATACATCATGAGAATGCTGAATTCCAAAATGTTTAGAACAGAATCAGTGAACTTCTTTGTGTGGAATCCGGTCAATGCGCGTAATCATTCCATATTTAGAATTTTCATTTCCTAATATGATAGGATGAAAATACCCCGTAAAATACCTCAAAATTATGGCATATTGTAACTTATGGCGTTACAGTGACAGATGTATAATAATACATGATATGTCTGTAAATTTTCAGTGAATATTTTAATCACAACAGCCTTATTGCTTAATTATTTACTATTATAACATATCATTGCCCATATTTGGACATTGGATTACATCATTGGTGCATAATAATATTTGTTCTTATTACAGTGTTTATTTTATAATGAACTACCATATAATGAGGATGTCAGACAGTATACTTTCTCATCACTGACAGCAAGTAAAAGAAATCAACCCAGTGGTAAGTACCAGGAGCAATAAAATACTTTGTCCAAATTGGGTTTACATTTTGTCAGGACCTGTTGACATGGCTGTAGATATTGACCTATAACTGGGTCAATGTCAGGCACTGGGTCATTTGGGTTCAGCACTCGATGCTGTAAACACTAAAATGAAACAAATATGTTGATGGAGGCATGTTGCATTAATGTCATCACATTGAAGTCATATTTCAGGTCAATTCATTAATGTCATCACAATGGCCACTGATTACTACAACTCCTTATTGACTAATGAGATCAACTATTTAAATTTGGTGATAACAATTTTTCTCTTTTCAGAGGAACAATTACAGGCTGTTGACAATCTTATTACATCGATGGATTTAACCCAAGTTGAGTAAGTAAAGTCTAATGTTTTTTTACCATATATAATTTAAAAGTAGACAAATTATATATTTCCTTTATTTTTCTTTTTTCAGCTGGGGAAAATGCGATTGATTCGGCTTGTTTGCCATGTGTATTTCCCAGCTGAACGAAGAAAAGTATTAGAGAATAATTATATTATTATCACATGCATAAGCCAAGTTGTTAATTTTTTTCAATGAATTGCAAATTTTGTATTTTAATTTTCTTCGGGACTTTGTTTTGAAGAGAATACATGTATTCCACACTCTTGAAAAAATTTAATTTTATAGTCGAGTGACAAGGAATATTTATATCATGAACATAACCATGGGTACGGTTTATTCAGAAAACAAACTCACTCACCTTGGTTATTTTTCCATGATGGCATAAAAATTGAGAGATTGCTCACGGCTTGTGGTGTGTTCATTGGACTTAAAACTCAATGAAAGTAGTTATGTCTTCACAGAACTAAAGACATAGACACAGGATTCAATGATCTAGAATGACCATAGTATAAAAGTCACATTGTCTGTTGAACAGGCAATAACTTGGCTTGCGCATGTGATAATATGAGGTTATTACGAAGATACCTCAAAGTATGCATGAAAAAAGTACAGCCAAAGTTTCGATGCGACGGCGTACAGTCTGAGTGCATACTTTGACGTATTCTCGGTAATAACCTTATTATTATACATCTTTTCCTTCCGATGGTACAGAATCAGCGAACTTCTTTGTGTGGAGTTCGGTCAAACCTCTGTGGCAGCCATGTTTGTTTTTATTATTGCAGAACGCTTACGTGCGTAATCATTCCATATTTGGAATTCACATTTCTTTACATGGTAGGATGAAAATACCCCATAAAATACCGCAAAATTACGGCACGCTGTAACATATGGCGTTACTGATTGTCAATTGTAGGTGAAT